AATCCTAATCGTAAAAACGAAGATTTCCCTTCAAACGGAGCGGAGCACCAATCAATTTGGAAACAACAAAATGTTACTTCATCAAATTCATCAAATATTTTCATCGGATTTAAATGATTCAAAGAGCATCCATCATTCGGAAAAGATGCATCGTGCATTACGCAGAAAGCATGAAGCTGAATTTGTCCATACCGATAGCGATTTGATGGGACATGCAAAATAACGAATGCGGATAATATTCATCCAATCAGTCGAATGATTGTTATTAATGGTGAAGGGTGTGACACGAGATTTGGCTGGTTTGCTTCATTGCATGGCACATAACATGACGACGTTACATTCAAAAAACGTTCACAGTGCAAATTATGAACAATGAAATTGGATTGATCGATCGAAAACGATGCGATACGCAACATTTATGCAATCAGATCGCAATCTTTGCCAATTCCTCTCTATCATCTCGTCAAAATATCGACATCAGTTAGCCTCATTTCGTTTTTTGCGCAATTTGTTCCTCATTTCAGAATTTCAGAACTTTAAATTTCACAAGCATGTGGCCACTGTGAAGACAATGTCTCTAACGAAACTACTGTGAGATCTTGAGATCTACGGCAGAAACGGAATTTTCATGATTTCCTCTTATTCCATAATGTTAATAGGAAGTGGATTATTTTCTATTAATATTATAGAACACAAGGACTACTCTGATCAAATCGACCAGCTGTCACAAAGTTTGCAGTCACTAATCCAAATCAATGCTCAATCACCGGAAACCGCTGTTGGCAAAAGTCGCTTTGAAATTTCAAATAGGAAACTGATTTACGGGAAACAGGAAACAACACATAGAAAAGAAAGTGACGAAAAATGAATGAAAGAATGAAAGGTTTTGGGGGGGGGGGCGTGAATAGTAATTATATTGATAAGGACGATAGTAATGATGACAGTTACAATAATGATGACAACAAAACAACGACAACCAAACAACAACAATAGCAGCAATGAAATTGACAACAGTTATGATAACGTGACATGACAAGAACATACAAAAGTGTTTTGTGGTGACAGCAATGAACAACAGTTCAATGAAATTCTTCTCATCACCATTTTATCCTCGCTAATCGTCTGACTCACAATCAGATGAACGGAATTTTAACAATCTAAAGCAGAAAATTCTTTCCAATAATTTCAATAATCCAAATAATAATCCAAACTTCAATAATCAACACCATATTCAAATTCAGAATCCTGGTTTTCCTTTGGAATCGAGACATAAAAAGATGCTCCCTCCATCTCAGAAGAATGTCTTCAAATCGAAAATTTTCTCTCTACATCTGAAAGGAAGACGTCTGAAACTCCACGATAAAAGGCTTCACTTTTGACTACATCTGGAACTACAGGAGTGCAGATAATGTTCACCTTATTTAAATTATACGTAACTACTTTAATGGTCAGCAAACACAGCGAGGAAAATAATTTTTTTGAAAAATTGATTGAACTGTGCAATAAATTGTGGATTAATTGATAGAAAATTGTTGTTAAATTGTTGCATAGTGCATCATCCATCATCATTCACTCACATTCACTCAAAAAAATTCATCACATTCAATTACATTGCGATATATTTACAAATGATCGCGCTATCTCATTATAATCCTAACCAATAAAAAATACACTCATCAATCCTTACTTCCGAACCTTAGACAAAACTGGAGCGACTTTTACTAATTATACAAATGTTTTCATCATTTCTTCAAAATTAAGATGTCCTTTTCTGAAAAAAGTTGCTGTTTCTAAGCAATTTTTTCCACATGACGAAAACAAATTCAATAATTCGACTCGCTAGCGCTGCCTCCTCGAAAAAGCCAATAAACAGATTGAGCTCAACTATCGAACGATACGACAGATTTTTTTTCGGCAGACTTTCGAATCGAACGATGAATAGCAAAAAAAAAACAGAAAATCGAGTGGCAATCAAAAATCAATTCTGATAGACTTTCACCACCACCACCCGCTCGCTCTTCAAATATCCATCATGTAAAAGCGCATTTTCACGTCAATATTTTGAGGATGATGTTGAATATTGCTTACCATCGACGGCGGTGCATTCTGCAGCATAACACCACCAACCACACCACCTGGTTGTTGCTGTTGTTGTTGGGATGACGGCCAAACGCCAGCAACTCGATTCGGACAGCCTTGCTGTTGTTGTGCTGCGGCTGCAGCGGCCATTAGACCAGGTGGAGGCGGCGGTAGAATTGAGCCAACTTCACTTCGCACTCCAGTTCCATCGTCATTGGTTGACGGCGGTGGAATCTGCCGTAAACGGGCGAACTCTGAAAGGCGCCATATGGAAGACCATCAAGAAGAATCTAACAACCGAGATGGTAATAACTGTTTCGGTTCCTGAGGCTTTTTTTCTGAGGACAGTTCACTTTTTTGCCGGGCTCGAGCCTGGTAAAAATTTTGACTGGTAAATCATGTAAATAAATGAATAAACTTCCATTAAGTGAGGTGAATAATGATACATTTTGAGTTTTCAATTTCGGTCACGCTGATTCTCTGCACAAAAAATGCACCAATTAAAGGTCATATTATGAGAAGGTTTGAGAAGATAAATGAGGACGTTCGTGCAGTGTAAATGACCGAATCTTATTTATTGAAAGAAAGTGCCGAAGTAATGAAATCTTGAGGAAGCGAATAAGTGAAAAATGATCAATTCAACCAACGAACGCAATACCTGCACATTCATCCCCCAGGATATAGTAGCATTGTTCGGTGAATGTTATCTTATTAACAACGTGACTTATCAGCTTCTCTTTCAGCAACTCGCCAGCAAACTTACGACCGTCTTTACGATCTCGTAAGCCATCTACATGTTCCATTAGCCAATCCACCAGATCGCTACCTGAACAAAACCACTGACATTAATGATAAAATAATAAAAACAGTAAAATAATGACAATACTCATAACAATGCTAAATAGTCACTTAATATTCATAATGACAATAATTAATGAAGAAAAGTTTTGAAAAGTAATAGCAACAAAAACGTTCAAATAAACGTAAGCAAATCTTTAACAAATCATTCGAGTCATCTACAAAACATACCCAAAAATGACATCGGAATGGGTATTTTCAGCCAGGTTCTATTCTTGATGTCAAGACCTGAATTCGGCATGACCATCATTTGAACAATTCTCTTCTTGTCAGTTGTTGTTGCCAATCGGATGCTGCCACCAATTCCTCCAGCAACGATTGTATTCGGTGCCGAACCATTTGATGTCATCGTACCGCTACTCGGCGGACGACCGTATTGACCCGGAACAGGCGTTGGCGCTCCTTCGGATCCTTCAACGAAACCTTACTATTATCAAATTCAATCATCACTATGAGTAATCAAGGAGAACCATGAATTCTGCTTAAATTGCTATAAAGAAAATCAAAGTGACAACATTCTTTAAAAAAGATTCAAAGAAAACAATTTCCACATTTAATACGCCTTAAGAGTTCAACTGAAATTGTGAAGAAAGATCGTTGCTATGAAATTATTAAGACTCTTAATGAAACTCTTAATGAATCTGCTAATCAGCAGGCAAAAACAACTAGTTTGAAATGACAAAATTCATTCGAAAACGACCGTCTACCGTTGAAATATTTCTACTTCAAATCTTTTGCTCTCAAAAACAACACACACCAACCGTCAACCAAACAGTCGATCCAATGAATATATTAAACCTATCAGATTCATAATCAACAGACAAGTAAGTCGTCTCACCTTCTAGAATCGATGGCATTCCTCGCATAGCGTTCGTATGTTGTATCCAAGCTTGCGTATCGATCGGTCTCACAGGCTCATCTCGATGTCGTGGCACTGTGAACGCACTTCTCGGTCCACCATCCCACATCTTTGCCACAGTCAATTTGATCGGTCCCCGTCTGGCAACAGACTCACGCAACACGTCAACAGCTTGATCGTTTGTAAAGTTCTCGAATGAGATATCATTCACTTGTAGAATCATATCACCCGGTTCAATACGACCATCTAGTGCTACAGCACCACCTAAAAATGATCATAACTTTAATGGAATGATCCCGAATCTACGACAATCATGACCACATCTGCTTATTGTAATCGCTACATTATTACAAAAAGAAGTTTACAAATAGTTTCAAAATGAATATTTCTTTTTTTTTCAAAAAAATTCGGGAACTCTTGACACATCGGAACTCCACTGAAGTATTGTTATGGCTTTGATTGTACATAATTGGGATGAATCGAAAACAAAACAAACAAAATGAACAATCTCGATGTGAAATCGAACAACATCTCGACAAACCTTTCATAATATTGGCCACATAAATGCCATTATCACCTCGCGATGAACTCTGTCCCACAATACTAATACCAAGGAAATTAACCGTATCCATGTTCAGTGTCACTGTGATGACGTCCAGTGACATTGAACTTTCCGTGATACTACTAAACGACGACGCACGTGATGGTTGTCGGAATTTACGGCGATTTCGACGTTTACGATACGCGTTCATATGGTGTTGACGCGATACGCTCGTTATGTCGGTTGACGTTGACACTCTGAATTGTCAACAAAACAGTAAACACCAATTAGACCAAGTAAACAAACAATTAACAAACACCTAAACGATACCCTAGATGAACACACTCTGCAAATAAAATAAATATGAACCTTGATCGATCGTCATCGTCCGAGAACAGTCGAGCGTCACTCTCAGAGCCGATCGTAGAATCTTCAAACCGACGTCCTCCAGCGCGATGACCTGAAAAGTTCACTCCATAAAGCTAACCATTTTCAATTGAAGTTTCTCACAACAGCAAAATCTTACCTCTTACAAAACCACTTTCCTCCAATAATTTGTCTTAATAATACCAACTTTTAATACCTTACCACAAAACTTCTCAACAATTTAGAAATACAATTCATGTGTTACCAATAGAGACTTACACATCATATGCATAAATGAATTCGCATGCTATGACCAAAATATGAACCTATCAGATAGAATGATGCATTAGCGCTTAGTTCACTAGTCAACGATAGATGTGATGTTCTATGCAAGAATCCGACGAGATGGCGTTTTGGCTTCAATGTGCTTTCATTATGACCAGATACATCTGTTCGATCTGTACATGTCGTGGTCGTATTACATCGCCTATACATTTTCCCTGTACTGGATCTCCATTTCTCATCAGGCCCAATCATTGAACCCTCTCCAATTGTTCCATTCTTATTTTCCACTCGCCTACTACCTCTTTCTTCGTCAAAATTACATTCAGAAGCATTTTTCATTGCAATATAGCGACGTATGAATAGACTTTGAACACGGAAATTAGCTTCTGATGAAGCAGTATCATCTTCGGGTTCTTCAGGAGCCAATGAGAAATTCTGTCCAGACTTTTTGCTTGTTAATATCGCCTTGTGATGATCGACGTTAGTACGATCGTCTTGATGATTCTGTGGACTGAGTGGATAATCCGAATGAGTTGTTGCTTCAGGAGGCGACACAGCCACATCAGCAAAGGGATCTGAGACGGTCATTAAGGGTCTTCGTGTGGAATCACTTCTTCCAATTAACACATTCAATGAATCTTCGTCGTTAGTATCTTCTCCACTTGGGTTTGTTTCATTACCGTAATTACCGCCATCACTGCTCTCACACTGCGTCAGAGAACCGCACTCCTTTGCAGCTACCAGAAAATCTGGTTGAGTGGCTAATGAATCAGGATCGAAATTAGAATCACTGGAGTCAGATGACTGCGGAATATTAAGAACAGGAGTTTTTCTATGAAGATATGATGCCTCCAGATGAGATGGATCGTCTGGATGGGATGGT